TTTTTTTTTTTTTAATAATTTATATTTTTATCACTGAACATGTACAGAGCAAAACATACACCAATTCAACAATTTCTACATGTACAATTCAGCAGCATTGATCTCATTCTTCAAGTTGTGCAACCATTCTCACCCTCCTTTTCTGAATTATTCCTCCACCATTCACCTGAACCTGCTGCCCCCTAAATTTCTCCTCTAACCTTTCGAGTTGCTGTTGTCAGTTTCACCCCATGTAGACAGTTCTTACCAGAGCACAACTGAAAGCAAGCGTTTCGCTGTGCATGTTCTTACTGTGGTTTGTGCATGGATTGGAGTCCTCAAATTGTGACAAAAATACTTCTTTGCTTATTTTTTTTCTTTCGTAGCAACAATTAGATATTCCCATTCCCAGGTATTTTTTGAAGGAGAAGTTGGAAGTAATAAAAGGAAGAGAGAAAATGCTTGCTCAGATATTAGCCGACAGTGAATTAGCTACAACGAGCATGGTTGGTATATCATTTTAACAAAAATTAGTCCATAATGTATTAATTCTCCTTTTTCTGATGTTCCTAATTGTGTGAGAAACAATTAGATTGTTTTCGGTATGAGGAGAGCAGCAGCATGCCTTGTCATACAGCACGTGAGAAGACGCATAAACTTTTGAATGTCTTTTTGGTGATTCATCATCATTTTTCAAGAACTAGTGATCAAGATAAATAGTGATCCAAATAAAATGTTTTGTTGGTTACATCAGTATTTTTAAGATTATTGAGTAGATTATCAATTCAGTTTAATTTTTCACCCCAAATTCACGTAGCCTAAAGTCAGAAACAATTACAATTTTTATGCAAATCCCACATGCCTTCCACGTTTGTTTGCCAACCACGCCCTCTCCCTGCAAGGTATTTTTGTAAGTGAACTATGCTAATTTTTACAGCAATATGTAAAAAAAAAAACTGGCATAGCAGCAGCTTATGAAAATACTTGGGGGTGGGGCAGCGTTCATCAGACACAGGGGAGCCTTCAGCACTTCATTCAGGCCCCCCAAGGGAATCCCCGGCAGGAAGCCTGAAGAGCAGTGCAGAATTCACTGAAGGTCTTACAGAGAAAGGAAGAGGGGAGATGACATCGTACCACCATTGGCAAGACACTAAAGGTTTATCTCTGCTGATTCTCTTACCCCACAGTCCCTCCACCGTGCTATGTCTGAAGAATCGGCCATTGAAAACCCCATGGAGCAGTTCTACTCTGGCACCACACACGGGGTCACCATGAGTCAGGGTTGGTTTTACTGGTTGGCCTCCTTCCAGCCCCTGTGACACGCACAGACACCCCCAAGCCGGCAGTGCACAGGGCTTCTCTCAACCATGGGGGCACAGCAGGGCCTCACCCCGAGCAGGCCTAGAGCTCACGCAGGCCTCTGGCATCCCCGCCCCTCCGCTTGTCCCTCATTCCTCAAGGCAGGGCACGACCCCTCTCTGACTCGCCTCTACATACCCCACCTGGGAGCTCTGAAGACAAAATTTCACTGCTCGAGCTCACTGGTTTCTGTTTTAACAGCACCCATCACGTTTGGATGGTCTCAAATAGAAATGGATAGATCCTGAAAGCCGTTTCACGTATGAAACTGAATTAAATACTCCGAAAGCCATTTTAAAATCAGTCCTACTCACTGGATCCCTCTGTAACTGATTTTAAGCTCAGTATTTTACAGCATGTATATTTTAAGATTTACATTCATATATTAGAAATTTGTTTTTAATTTTTATGTTTCTACTGTTAAGCTAATGGAACATTGATAGCAATTCAGGTTTTATTAGATCCATTTTATTGACATTTCTAGTAAAGTTTGCTGCCAACTGAAAATATTATGGAGCTAATTAAAGAGTGTAAGTCCCTGGTGACATATATGGTTAAGCACTCCATTACTAGCCACAAGGTTGGTGATTCAAACCCACCCAGAAGCA